TATAATGATCAGTATTGCAGCATATATTCCAACTTTTTAAAAGGCCCTGTGTAGACAGCATGAACTTAAATGTGTTTTAAATCCTTGGTGCTTTTCACAGTTTGTGATTACCAGTCAATATTTGTAAGTCTTGGACTTTGTTCTTGCCTATTCATTCTTTTCAAAGTGTTTACTCCTGAGCTTTTCACCTGACAGGTTCTTTCTCTGTAGTTCAAAGAGTAGAATTGAGGATTGCTTCTGTTTAACAAATACTACTCTTGGATAGAGGAAATATAACTTGCTTTACAGAAGACCAAAGTTGACTGTTGTACTCTTTTTTTGGTGTCATGATATCCTTCTTCCTTGTAAAGTTTTTTCTATGTTATTAGAACATCAAAATTATTTTTAAACTTTTTTTTCTGCAAGTGTGAATTTTAAAATTGTGACTTTTGTATTTTACACAACTGATTTTACAACTTCATAGAGCATGTAAAGACCATGACTGCCAGGTTATGTCTTGCGTTCTTGTCCACTGTTCACTGTAGATTCAACAGTTAACTGAGGCACTAAATGGTGTATCATGTGAGAAAGACCATTTATTAGCTGAAAGAACTAGTCACTCTTTACAATTTAAAGAGCACATCTCATCAGTTAATCGAGAAGAAGATGAGCTACAAAAACTTCTTCAGGATGTCAGGTCTGAGCAGGACCAACTCAAGACAGAGTTGCAAAGAAATTCTAATATGGTGAGTTGCAATTTGCATACCTGAGTTACTCATAACTTCTCTTCTTGAATGTAATTTAAATATGTGTGCTTTTTTTTTTAGTGTGTTGAAACAAAGGCAAAACTGGAAGATGCTTTAGAGCAACTGAAGCATAGGAACCCGAATAATATGTCCATTCAGGTAAAGCCAGTGGATATTGCAGAGCAGGTGGCTGGTGACAGCTTGAAAGAAAAAACCTTGAAGATTAAGGTAAGCTTATTTTTCTGCTTGTTTTAAGGATGCACATAGGAACTTACTGACACTTATCATGGAGCATAAGCCTTTTGTGTATTATGTATAGAATGGTTTGCATATCTTGCTAAGATGTTGCATACCATGGGATCAGTTGATTTGCTGCTGTTGTTCCGTGATTGCACATCTTGTGTCAACTGAGAAGTTCAATTTCATGCTCACAGAACATCTCGCTTTCATTATTGTCCAGCCACCCCAATGAAAATAACTAGCTATGCAGGATTATAAAATCATTTAGGTTGGCAGAGACCTCTTAGATTATAGATTTCAGCCCTTAAACCAGCACTGCCATGATCACTGCTAAACCGTGTCGCTAAGTGCCAGATGTACACATCTGTGAAGTGGCTCCAGGGATGGTGATCCCACCACTTCCCTGGGCTGTCTGTTCCAGTACTTGACAGCCTTTTCAATAGAGAATTTTTTCCTAATAACCAGTCTAAACCTCTCCCAGTGCAACTTATCACATATTACTGGAGAGAAGAGGCCGACCTCCTCTTGCCTACACCCTCCTGTCAGGCAGTTGTAGAGCAGTACAGTGGTCTCTGAGCTGCCTCTTCTCCAGGCTAAAACCCCCAGTTCCCTCAGCTGCTCCTCACAGGACTTGTGCTCCAGACCCTTCCTCAGCCCCACTGCCCTTCTCTGGACTCACTCCAGCCCCTCAATGTCCTTCTTGCAGTGAGGAACTCGGAGCTGAATACAGAATTTGAGGTGTGGCCTTGCTAGTGCTAATCCATTTCCTAGTCCTGCTGGCCACACTATTCCTGACACAAGCTAGGATGCCATTCACCTTCTTGGCCGCTGGGGCACACTTTCTGCCACCTGTTGACCAGCACCCAGCCGGTAGCATTGCATGGGGGGCATTGTGACCTGGCAGTTCCCCTTGTTGAACCTCAAACAGAAGCACTTTGGTTTTGTCCAAATCCTCCCTTCCATTATTCCCCATCAAATACTAAATTGTTGTCAAGTAAATTAATTTCATTAAAGTGCTTCTGTCCTCAAACTAGCAATTCCTCAGACCTTTTGTTAGTTAGCTATCTTGAGTATATTTTCACACAGATATGAGAAGTACTAGTAACCTACCAAAAGCCAAAATAAACCAGGATTTATCAATGTGTATTGTTGCATATAAGTAAAACCTTATTTTATAAGGGCCTTGTTGCCCTTGTAAAGTCATGGCTCAGGCCTGCTACTTTGGCTGTGTCGAAGGGAACTGTGGCACAGTGACTAAGCTGGAACAGGAGTAGAGAGACGTGAGATCCGTGCTGTGTGACTGCCTTGTGTCCACGTCATGGTGTGTGGTGGTTGGTTGACTTGGACTGCTTGTGCCTTAAAACTATGTAAACTGATAACCAGCTAACTGCCTGAAAAGGCCTGGGTTTTGCAATAAAGGGCTCTCCTTTGCACTGCCTGGGGACTCTTTGTCGCTCTGCATCATCACATCTGGCACCCAAACAACAAGAAATGAGATTACAATGAAAAAGTAAACTACAACCAACAACAAAGCCCTGCAGCCCCAAAATACCAAATTACAATGAAGAAATAAACTACAATTCAACAAAATAAACCCTTAGAGCCCTAAAACCACAGAGCAGAGTTGAAACTCTACTACAACATAGAACTTTCTTTACAAACCACAATCCAATGGAAAACAAAATACCAGCACAATTGATCAAGTTAAATCATAATGAAGGAAGTTAACATCAGCCGATCCCTTTCAAGAGCATTCACCCCTTCTGACTTCTGTAATTGATAGGATCTTGTTTGCCTCTTCCCAGTGTTCCAGAGTTTTTACTGTGAGGTGAAGAGTCAAGAAAACTGGTGAACCTTGATTTTTTCAACTAAGAACCAATGATGGAGGGAGTTTTATACTTATTTTAAAATGTGTAACATAGACATAATTAAACGTGATACTGGACTTGCAGTTTACTGGGTCTTCAAGGCTGTAGCACTACTGAGCCAGCTCACTGCTTGTTCACACCTTCCTTTTCATGGCAGAGTGCTAGGATCCACTTCCTAAGCCCTTTCCTTCAAGAAAGGAGAAGCAGATAAACCTAGAATTCCACCCTGACGGGAAGGCCAGCTGGCAAACTTGTGAACAGGCAAGAATTATTTTTCATGCCTGATTTACAAGTCTTGATGTGGCCAGACAACCTAAACCCTAATAACAATTTGAGCTTATAAATTTACTTGCTGGAAAACTAAGAAGTTATCTGGGTTTGTGCCTGGATTTGTGTTTTTGTCATATCCCTGTGGCAAGCCAAAATTGAGGTCTTAATCATAGTAACTTTTCCTCTTGTAAAACCAGTACATACTGTAGGGGTTAGTCCTGGAGTCAGGTAATATATTTTATGTTTCTGTTTATAGCTAATCACACTTTTCCTTATTGTGAATTAATTAATTTGTTTCACTTGCATTTAGGAGCTTCTTGAGAAATTCCCAGCCATGGGGAAGAGATATGAATGTCTCTCTACAGTGTCTCTTAAGTTAAAGAGTGAACTGAATAGTCAGAAATCACTGCTAACTGTGATACTGCCTCAGCTTACATTGGAGAAGAGAAAACAAGTCAAAACACTTCAAACTAAAAATGAGGAAATGAGCACTCGTCTCCAGAAGTTATTGACCAAATTGAAGGTACCAACTTAAAATGTGAATATGTGGATGCTTCATATTGCTTGGATTTGGATTTTGGGGTTTTTTAAAATAAACTTTCAATGGTAACAGCTAGGATTTTATATACTCTAGCTTTGAATTTTGAGAATCCATACATTGGGGAAAATAAGTGGATAATGATTGCTTTACAATCTTAGAAAACTGGAACTACTTAGTTATGTAAATCAAACTTAGTTTTTAACTGTAGTTCAGCTGCTTTACACAGATTTATTTCATTAATAATCCATTTTAATTGGAAAATTAAATTTTCTTTCTGTACTCTATAAATCAAATAATAGATGACTTAAGTATGTATTTCTCTGTGGGAGAAAGAGACATGCAAGATGGCTTGGAGTTGCATGCTTACTCTGCAAAACTACCCAAGTAGTTTGATGATTTTACAGCCTTGCATATCTTCCCCAGTTTGGAATCAGTTTCTCCATTGGACTAAAATTATCAGCAAAAAGGTTAAGGGTCATTGGGAAAGAATTCCTGTTAACATATGCGGAAGTACAGTAAATGATTAAGTTTTTTCTGTTTCTTTATTTACCATGAAATACTAAGGGCTGGGTTTTTTTTTTGTTTGGAGCATGGAAACATGCACAGGCCTGGAGAGAGGGGCGAGGTTCTTGAGAGGCAGTCCTGTCTATAATTATCCATTCACTTGGAAGTTGAACTAATATTCCAAAGAGCCTCGTTTTATAACTTAATGCAGCCATTTTAGGTTTAGTTTTTTCCATAGATGGCTTTTAACTTTCATGGTTAAAGATGTTTAAGATCCAACTAGCAAGCTCTGCAAGAATAGTTTTAAATCAGCTTGGTGATATTATTCTCCTAGATCATCTGCACCTTTCACAACTCCAAGAGAAAATAAATATAACAAAGAACAATTTACTTTGTTTTTCAAAGTTTGGATTTGTGGAAGGCTGTCTAGAGCCTCTTAGACTTCTTGGCTTTTTTTTTTGGAGTCTACAGAAAATAGCACACTGGAAAAGTGCTGTCTCAGCTAAAAGGCTTACATGCCATTGCTATAATGTACATATGAACCTTGTTTTCTTAGTTATGTGTTGGTTATCCTGGACATTTAGAGGCTCAGAGAATAAATAGATTGAATTGTAAAATACTGTATTTTAGCAGGATGCAGGGTACCATTTTAAAACAGGCTCACTGATGCATCCTGTGCTTCTGTAACAGCTTCTGTTCAGTTCTGTTTGCAACAAGAAAAGAGAATATCACACTGCTGTTCACAAGTATGAAATGGAATTGCTTGAGGAAAAGAGAAAACAAGATCACCTACGGTCCCAGATACAATGTCTCAGGAAGATTAATTTGAAGCAGAATGAAGTATCATCTCAACAGTTAAACAGCAGTGAAGGGCTGCAGAGTTTCCACTTGGATGCAGAGGTAATATCTGGAAAAAAAAATAGACATAAAGATCCATTCCAAAGGCATGGGGTCATGTGGTGGTGGGAATCTAATGGCATTGGGTTTATCTCTTAAAACTTCACTTAAGGGGGGGTGAAGGAATAGAATTATTTTTGTATGCTACTAGTTCTATAAAAAGAGGATTTTGCTTTGTAAAGCAGCTAAAAATAAGATTAATAGATTAGAAAATAGTGGGAATGTTATTTACTTATATGCCCTCTACAATACATACTATCCAATACCAAGATGATTTGTTCTAAAACAATGGAATAAACTTTTGCTAATAAGCACTTCTTTTTTTTCTCCTTTCCACCTGCCCCAGGAATGTAGATTGTCTTCTTGTTTTCCCAACAGGGTGCAATTTTAAGTCTAGCAAAACTCCTTTTATATGCTAATTAGATGCTAAAACAGACTTCCTGCTATACTGATAACTGAGAGGACATAAGGTATATTTAGACATGTGATAATCAAAACAGTATATAAATTTTAATCCCCTTTTTTTTTTTTTAAGAGCATTCTCAAAGATGTATCAGAAATAGAACACGAACTTGTCTGCATAGAAGCAGAGTTACAGCAGGAAGAAAATGCTAGAAAAGAAACAATACAGTTCTGGGAAGCTTGTTCAGGAACTCACTGGGATGCAGAGGAACTGAAAGAAGAACTCGAGAAAGATAATGAAAGACTCTTGCAAGTCTTTAAATTTTGGACTCCTAAAGTAAAGGTAAAATTTAATGTTATAGAATCAGAAATGTATTTTGTGTATGCACTCTGCAAATACCTGTGATTGAAAACAAAACACAAAAAAGGCTCTTCAGTGAGCATTCATTTATTATCAGCATTTACTCATACTTTAACTGTCAGACAGAGGAGTACTTAAAAGATTTTTAAAGGCTCCTCATGCATCCGAACTTGGAGACTGGCTTTCTAAAAGACTTTCTAGGTAATAAATGGGAAGGGGTGTGGAGATGTTTATTTGGGGTTTTATTAGTCTGAATTCTGGAAAATGTTGCTTTTCTTGCCAAACTTTATCAAAACTACCATAGCCAGTTTTAAAACTCAATTAAATTTACAGTTACACTCCTGTCTTATGCTTTACATCTTGCCTCTTTTGAAAACCTGGACAGCATTTTTAGAGTTTAGTGCATCATGAACAGGATTTCATGAGATTTCATCTTTCTGATTAAATCTTAAGTTTGCCCTATTTTAAAGTTTCTTCTGTGGAGTCAGTATTCAGTCTTGACTTCTTTGGGATTTCTCAGTGTTTAGCAAGGTTTTTGGAAGAATTCCCTGACCCTAATATTATGTGGATCAAATCTTTTAACAAACAAACAAAAATCTAGTAAGCATTGTTGTTTCCTGACAATTGTGAAGTTTTTATTTATCTGACATGTCAAACATGTGGGTTTTTAGAATAGTCCAATGTGTAGGTTTAATTTCCTTTAGTCAGTGAATGCATTCTAGTAAAAAAATCTGGGAATAATTGTGGCTTTCTGTGGCTGACATTCAAGAAGTCTTCCCGATATAGTTCCTTTGTTTCTTTAATATTAGAGTTTGAGTTAATGCAGATATACTGGTAAACCTGCAATACGTTATCATCTTCTCTTGTGCCTCTTCCTGCCTCCCTCTCTTCTGGAAATGAAACTGTTCTTTTGAGTGATAATGATACCATTTCTGACAGCAAATATTTTCAAATGGGGCATTGAAAGAAGAATGTGAAAATAATACAGGCTAAGGTACTTCCTGTTTCTTCACTTGCCATATTTCTAGCAGATTAAAAAAATATTTAAAATTATCCTGTATGATGCTGCTCATTTTCAGATACTCCTTGAACTTTCTTCAGAGCTGGATGCCAGAACTTCCGATTATAGTAAAAATGCTGATGTTGAATTAAAACAGAGAAAAGAGAAAAATCAAGAGTTGCTTCAAGATCTAAACACTCTAAAAGAAAAACTGGCCCCTGGTGGCTCTGCCAGTCTGGCATTAGAAGAAGAAAATTATAGGCTTCATCATAAATTAAAGGCTGCAGAACAAGACAAAAAGGTACCAATAACTTGTTTCTAAGGAAAACTTTTTCGATGCTTGCTTTCTAAGGGAGAGTACTCCAAACTGAAAATAAGGATTTATGGCAACTGTAAATCTATGCCACCACAATACAAATAGAGTATACTTTGTTTTAGTAGTCCTTTTATTTCCAAAGTGGAATTTTGAGCTCTTGCCTGTAACATGATTATTTTAATTGCCTGATTTGTGTACAGAAATAGATGTTCAGTTTAGAAATTAGTATTAAATGTTTTCATTTGCTTTGGGAGTACTGACTTTAATAGGGTGATACTCTTGATGCTTCCTGTAAGTATATGGTATTCACTATGTCAGACATGAAGCTGGAGAAGAATTTTCTATTTAATCACAGGAACTGAGAACTCACTCACTCTCTCCTGTTCATGTCACAGTTACCCTTCTCTGAAGCACTTTTTCTTTTCTTAGACTTGAGTGTTCTAGACTATTAAAAGGTGACACAAAACAATGACCTGGGCATGAAGAGTTGCATAGAGCCTGTAGTGTTGGATTTTTTTGTGTGGTTTGGGTTTGTGCTAGTTCTTGCTAAGAATATGACTATGTGCTGTTGCTGTTACTGTCTTTTGACATAACTGCTCATAACTGATTGACTGATGTATCTCAATAGGCTATGGAAGTAAAAATTCAGAAGCTAGAGAACGTAATAAATGAAGTAGGAGAAAGTGTCAAAGAGAAAGATGACAGGATAAGCAAGTTACAAGCACAGATACGGATAAGAACAGAGACAAGTGAGCTCACCCAACTGCATGCCAAACTGAATGAGATGGATAATTGCCTCAGGACCGCCTTAACAGAGAAGCAGAGTCTTCAGGTATGAGCAAAATACTTCACTCCTCTCTTCTTCCTCTGATGAAAGACACAAAGAATGCTTGACAACAGTTGTAGGTGAAATGAAGCTCTCTATAGTCAGTGTATTTGTTCTGTATGGCATTCCTAGAGTAAAACACTCCACTTGCCTGTTTAGCATTTCACAGTTTTGCATTCTACCAGTTCAACCTTCAGTGGTAACATTTAGAACTCATATCACAATACTAGAAACTAAATGTGTCGCTTGTTTGTGACCCATTTCTGAAACATTTAAAACCTTTAAACATTAAAACCTTTAAACTAGAGCATGAACTATTTACTCAATGTGATATATTTGCACACTACTTTAAAATTCCCAGATTTATTCTGCACAGAAGTCAGCAAAACGTGCTAAAATACGGTTGCATGTAATACACCAGAGTAAGATACCAACTGCTGCTATAATGCTAGTTGGTAATGTGAGCCACCTTAGTGAAAAGTAATTTCCTGCTCCTGGTCTTGTACAGCAAAATCTAGCAGATCATAGTAAAGATACAAAGTAAACAACCCTCTTCATTGCTAAGTAAAAAGCCCTGATTTGTATTAAATATTTTATTTTCAGGCAAAATTAGATAAAGGTGCTGAGCTGTACAAAGAAGAAATTGACCATCTCAAAACACAATTGGTAAAATGTGATCTGGAAAGAATGAAACAATCCAACTCCTTTGAAGTGAAGTAAGTTCAAATTTTATCTTCTTACAATTCTCAACTACTTAATTCTTAGCTTCTACTTCTCTATTTATGTTTCCCACATAAGAAGTAAGCATTCAGCTTGAGGTGGTGTAAGTTTTTATGGTGGTTAGACAAAGTAAAATCTCTATATACCTTGAGTTGCTTACAAAACTTCTTCCCTATACACCAACCAAAATTTCTCAACTGTGTTTAGCCAGAAATTAAATAACTTCTGACAAAAGAAGGCAAGGGGAAAACAATAAGTAGAAGCACTTTCTACTTCACTAGAGAGAAGGGATACACCAAAAATAATTAGTTCAACTTTTGGGTGCACTTTACCTAAAATCTAACTGACAACCAGGTTTATGTCGTTTTTCTTATATAACATGGGTGTGTCTTATATTTGATAGCTCAAATTGAATTCAACTGAAACTGTAATAACTATTAAGCTGAGGTTTTCTGATTTTTTCCCTCCCTTCCTGCCTCATATAGACTTGCTAATTATAAAGCCTTTGCAGAACATCGAGAACAACAGTTAACAAAGCTAAAAGAAGAACTGAGAAGAGCACACCAAGAGCAAGATGTTACTGGTAAATTCAAGATAAATAGAACGGACTCTTTCATGTTAAACATTGAATTTTGAGGTTATATGGGTAAAGACCAGATTGAAATGCAGGCCTTGTATCCAAAGGCTATGAGGAAAATTGGAGTCATCTCACTGGAACATAAGATGGAAAATTGTTTACATTAGCTGCATATGAACTGCATTAGAATCACAGCAGTTCTTGTGTTTTTCTCCAGCCTTGTGGAGGGATAATCTGCAGTGGTGGTAACTCATGTTTCCACTTTTTCCTTGACATACAAATACCTAGTTCTAATCAAAGCTATGACATAACTGGAACAATAACTATTTTACCTCTAAATGGCCCAGTAAAGAATCGATCATGTTTCTTAATATCTCCCTGGCAGTGTGGATACTGAGAGGTGTGTTTTGTGTAGAAAAAAGAGTAACTGTTGTAATGGCACTTGTAACCCAGTGAGGTTTCACATATAAGATCACAAGAAAGAATAATCTTAAAAATGTATTGGCTTGGTTTTAAGCACTCTTCAAATAATGCACACACGTATATATAAATCTGTTTTCTAGTGCTGAAAGAAGCAGATCCTCAGCAATCCCAAATACCCCTTACTTGTGGTGGTGGCAGTGGTATTGTACAGAGCACACAGATACTTGTTCTAAAATCTGAACAAGCTAAGCTACAGAAAGAGATCTTCCAGCTGAAGAAACAGAATGACCTTCTACTGAGGTAAGTGGACAGCTGACTAGCAACATGTCAATCATTTGTTTGACATAATCAGTATATATGTACATCATTAGTGTTTCTGTCTGGGAGACCATGGAAGTGAGTAACCATTAATTTTAGATTTCACATCATAAACTTTTAATTAAAACTAGTTTTATGGCTCATAAAGGCCTTTTTATTTTAAATTTCTTGCTTTCTTCAGAATCTTGTAAATGCTGGAAGATACACTTGAATTTTGTGTTGGAAGGAATTTCAGCTTAAAAAAAATCCTCTGAAACCAAGATACACAGCTATTGTACTTCTGTGTCTGTGATATGTCATCTGAAAACACAGGAACTGTCTGTTCTTCAGGAATTTTTCCTTAAAGAAACTGCTTTAAACTTTTCTTAATTGAATGCTGGGGTTCTTTTCATTGCAGTGATGAACTTCAACTGAAAGAGGAACTCAGGAAATGGAAAGAAAAGGCACTAAAATGGAGAGAACGACCCTCAAAAGAAACTACTCGAGAGACAATACCAAAGTCTCCTAGGAAGGCAGTGTCATATTTCTTTAAAGAGCAAATGCCTTCACCCTCCAAGGAAACTGCTTCTCAAGAAATAGTGACTCAGGACCTACCAAAGCCTCTGCCTCTGACTCGTCCAACAAATTTCTTTGATAATTCCAACTTGGGTGTGCTGACAGGTACGTAGCACAGTGGTAGTGTCCTATAAGATTTGAAGATGCAAAATATAAGGGATCGCCTGAAACTTGCATAATAACAATTTTCCTGAACGGTTTGTCATCTGACTGTTGAAAAGCTGACCATCTGAGCTATGAAGCTTCTGTATGCTCTACAGAATCAAAATACCAAAATGAATCCCTTACTTGCTGAAGAATATACAAACTTTTTTTTTCCTTTTCTGCAGTGGAAGTGTTGATGAGTGACTTTTAAAAGTGAATCAGGAAAATATTATTACATAGCTGGTGCTCTAAAATATTTTGCTTTTTAACTTTACATTGGTTAAGCACAGTTTTCTGGTAAAACTATATAAAGTTAACTCCTGGTTAACTTTTATCTGAAGTTTTTCAAGATGGTACACTTTAGTCTTTGATGTTGCATCTGCTACTCTGCCAGGCTCCAGCTGCAATAGTAGCTTTTTGATGATAACTTCTGTTCCTCAGCCTCACTTCAGATTTCTTATATCTGACCTGCTGACTTTTAGTGACTTGTGCCCTCATGCTTCTCACAGGTTTCAGAGGGCCCCAGCAGACATGTTGAAGAGTAGCCAGTTTTTAAGGTATTAGTAGCAGACTTCCAGAAAGAACATTACTCATTGCTGGCTTTGTGGTGGCCAGCTTGGTAATAGCACAGCTTTCCTCATAACACAAAGCTCCTCAGAGGGAAGCTTTCATAGCTGATGTACAAAACACCAATCAAGATTAAATCACAGTACTCCTACTGCTTGTCTAACTGAGAAAGGCTTTAATGTTCTTGTCTTCTGTACAGATACACGACCTGAAGGCACAGAGTCCACAGAAGAGCATCTTAAGCACTTGTTTGGGACTTCAAACAAAGATAAAGCTCCTGATTGTAGCACCCAGTAAAGATGCTCTGTCATAAGCTGCCCTTAGAGTAGCTACAGCTAGGATCTGCATATAGAAAAGAAAATTGCTTGAGGTCAAAAACCATCAGCCTCTTCCATCTTTGCTGTCTTGGAGTTTCTATTTCTCACAACTGGGAAAGCTGGAATAGGAGGACAAAAATGGAAAACCAGATGTTGCCCCACAACCTGCTCATCTGCTGATGTTCTACTTTGGTGTTTTGATGTTTTTTGACGGCAAAGAGAAGCTAATGTATTGAAGAAAAAAAATGGAAAAAAGAAGGGATCAAAAACTAATCTACTGTGAAACTTCTCAGTCTGAAACTTTTCATTCTGTCATTCCTAAAACAGCCCTTTTCTGGGGTGTTGATATTTATATCTTCAGAGTGCTGTTTACTTGACAAGAAATATTCTTTTGTTTCTTAGCATGTAGTTTTTATACCATGCTTTCTTTAAGCCAACAGAAACTGCATTTTCACCACAATCTTGACCTCTTTGGACACTGCAACTGAAGTTACTGATCTTCTGTTTGTAGAGTACACAATCAAGGGTTCCTCTTAAACTCCATAAAAGTTTCTGCAGCTCAGCCAATTATGGTACTGTGAGTAACTTTGAATTTTGCATCATTTTTCAATATACCTGTCTGAAGTTGTGTATTGGGTTTTTTTTAATAGTAAGCAATGGACAACACTTCTGCTTCCCTAGTGAAGGGAAAACAAGCCAGATCACTGGGTCAAGACGAGCTCTTTTATTAAACCACTTATCTGTATTGTGAGACCTACATTTTGTATCTTTTATATAAGAAATTTTCACTTAACAATAAAATTTAATGTGTTAAATATGTAAAAATGGCTTTGCTGTTCACTTGTGCTGTGATCCAAGGATGCTGATTACAACATTGTCTGTTACCAAATCACTATCTTTTATACTGATTTCATCACTTCCATCATAATTATCCTTCTTGTCTCCGTCTTCTATAACCTTTTGCACCAATTACTTGTGCAGAAGTTTACTGTTGTTAGAGTTCTATTAAATTCTTCGAGTCTGTCAGAAAATGGTTGAAGTCTAAAACACAGATCCTCCTCCCTTTCTTCCCCTCCATGCCTTCCACTGCCAACTAAACAGGAATTGGGCAGTCAGAACCTGAGATCAACTCCGTTAAGGATGAAATCACCATCACGAGATGAGAAAGTCATACCTAAGAAAGATACCTGCACCAAAAGCATCATCCTTATTTTATAGGAATAAATCTCTCAGTGATGCGAGGTCCTGTTTGGGTCACCCAAACTGACAAGCAAATGGTTACACTGACATGTTCCTGAGCATTGAGCAGCTACTGGAATTGGGGGAGTCACACAAGGATTATTTACCAGATGGAGGTACTTCTTTAATAAAGAACCAACCTCTATTTATTTTGAATGGCTGAAAACTGCCAACTACTGTACCTACTAAGAAGTTGCAAGGATTTATCTCAATCTCTGGCCTTGAATGCCTTTTGGGAACCTTTTAAAGGCATGACAAGCCAAAAATATATAGATCCTAAATACCATTACAGAGATGGGCACTGCAATGTCTTCTTTCTGACCACAGCCACAGGTATTTATTTTCTGACAGGAATAAATGCAAAGTGCTGGTGTGTTTGTGGTGGTTTGGTTTTGGGTTTTTTTTTTTTTTAGGTTGGTTGGAATTTTTCTGGATTTGTTTTAGGTTGTTTTTTGTTTGGTTTGGTTTGTTACTTTTTTTGTTTCCCGCTATGATATTTCCTTTGGCTTCCAGCATTTTGATGTTCTAAATGAATTTGACTTTTTTTCTTCCAGAATCAGGAAAGGTTGTGTATATATAGACCTACCTCTTCCATATACTATTTCCAGTGGGGTTTTTTTGTTAATTATTACTTGCTTGGAACAACGAGATTTGATGATTTTTCTGGTGATTGAACTAAAAAAAGCAAAAATTTAGTGCAACAGGTTTGTGGCTCAATTCAAGTGGCAAAAGCTTAGGGGGGCAGAAGGATAAATGCTTTTAGCAAATTAAGTCATTAAAGATTTTGTTTACCAGAGAAGCTGATCTAGAAAGCCTTAAAAGCTATCATAGTTTTAGCAGAAAGACAAGATAAACTGAACTTTTGTGTATGTGTGTCCCAGTTTATCCACAGAAGTGGCTTTGCTGAGAACAAACTAATGACGTTTAGGCAGGACACCAAATTCTTTAAAACTACTATCAAGTAGCTTTAAGTCTGCTGTGAGCTTATAGCTAAATTAGTTTTGTCCTAGAATTTTTCAGTTTAATGATATTAATTCTGCTTTAACACATGCAAGTTAAACCACTAGAAACAAAAGATACGCTGGTAAATCACCAGTTTAACTACAACAACAAAATCACGTAAGTTTTGTCCTGGTTTGGAATTTGACAGTTTATATTGCAATAAGACATTGCTTGGGAAAACATGTTTGTGGCCTTTTGGTGGGAATTCTACTGACCTCTTGAATTCCCATTGTAAGAAAGTCAGCTAACACTGGTGATACTTGTGTGTCCTTTCCTGTGCAGGAGAAAAATTGCACTTTTTTAGAATCCTGAGTTTCACTAGATGGCAGCATCTCAGTGTTTCAACAGGAAATTACGTTGGTGTAGAGAAACTTAGCAGAAACTTGGCAGTTGGACTACAAATCCCAACAAGCAGAGTAAAAAAAAAAAATCTCTAGAACTTCCTTTTTTTCAAGAGTCAGCAAATATAACAAAGCTGTTTGAGATCTCTTGGTAAGTGACTATATTAACATTTATTTGCAAATGCTTCATAGAATTGGTGTGGCAAATGTTCATAAAACTTGGTTGTTAGATTGAAAACTGTATTTATAATGCATTTTGCTTCCCACGTGTTAAGGTGATTTGGGGAAGTACTTGAACTGATCCAGCTGGGTTTTGGAAATAATTTCTCCATTACGTTGCTTCAGAAGTCTTAATTTGCTGAGTCTGTAACCTTCAGGAAAACAGCTTTGCTGCAACTTTTGTCAGGAAAAGCATGTAACAAAACAGAATTTCTGATCAAAATAAGAGAAATGAGTAATTTATTCAAAAAGTAGGACACTACATTTGACTCAGTAATCTGAGTCACAGCATGGATTTGAACATCTCTAGACGACAGCATTGGCTGCTAACATAGGGAAAATTATGGTACCTTTGTCCTAATTTCCCAGTGAAGTACTTGGTGTGTTGGATTTATGTATATATTTAAAGACTGTGTTCTTATGATGCCTTTCCACATTGGTATCTACATAGACAAAGTTTCTCAGAGGATTATGAAAATGCAGGAGTTTTGCTTATGGGGAACCCAATTAACAAATACCAGATACCACACTGTGACTGGAACACAGTGATCTCACTTTTTAGGAACTTCTTTGAGACTTGGCATTTGGTTTTACTTGTTTGTCTGCATTTTTGCATGCTCTATTTGGTTAAACCTAACACAACACTTGAACAGGGCTGTATTTTGCCTTTTGGTTGCTCCATGCAGACTAAGGTAGCAGCTCCTAGAGGTTCCCTACTGCCCCAAGCATGGTCAGTGTTCCCTGAGAACAGGGAACAAGAGGCAAGACTGGCAGCTTCATTCCCCACACACCTTCCTGCTTCACTGGGGCTGGGAACCTGCTGTGCTGGAATATTCCTAAGACAACTGAGGGCAGATACCAAGGCTAGGGCATTGTGTGGAATGTATTGCAGTCCAGGACATTGAAAAGTTTGTAGAGAAACAGAAGACAGACCTGCATTCCAAGAATACCATGAACAGTGAAAACACTAGATTACAAACTATTGTACTGCTCTTTCATCCTGGGTTTTTTTCCCCCATTTAAGAAAAAATAAAATCTAATTTCTCTTATAATGAAGCTTAACTTCTGAACTCAAATGCCTTTTGACCTCTTGAGGTCCTTTATAACTAGAAAAAAAAAAAGGTGGGGGGCAGCCCTACCTCTCAGAGCCCTGGATAACTGAGGGTCACATGGCAGCCAAACAGGACAACTGTGATGGCAAAGGTACACCCTGGATCATGTGTAGTTTTGGGAATGTATTTGCATCTGATTCCTGGGGGTGGTGTTGGCTTATCTTTTTTACATTTCTGTGCCATCCCGTACCTGCACAGGTCAGCACCATGGGGCGGCTGGATGGGAAGATCATCCTCTTGTCTGCGGCAGCACAGGGCATTGGCCGAGCAGCTGCTATTGTAAGTTGGAAAATGTTTGTTCTGCTGTGCCTGTGCAAGGTCTCTCATTTTACCTTGTCCAATGACACCTGCACCAAACCAATTCTTGAATTAATAGACCATAGATGAGGCCAGAACTACACAGTGAAAAAATCGGGGAATAATACAGCCATTATGCTGTATCATGCAGGCTTTGTGCTGTTTCAGTTTATGAAAATCTTCAACTCTGAGTGGAGATGTTAGATAAGGATGATAAGAGCAAGATTTGAGGACAGCTGCAACTGCTTTTCTAACAATATATGGTAGTCTCTGTACCTGTTATCCAATATCTCTGTTGCTTTGTTCTGGGAGAAAACAAAGATGACAGGGAATATTTCCTGATCTAAGGCTGGATACTGTGAGGATCCCCTACAGTAAAGCCAAGGTATTTTACCTATATTCATGATCAACATAACCAAATTCACATGATACTAGCACACTGTTCACAATGAGCACCTGTAAGAAACCCTTTACAAATTTTGTTTGATTACTGTTAAACAGAATTCAAGGTACGTATTAACTTTCTAGTTAGCTTGTAACTCCTTTTGACCAATTCTTCTGCTACTTCCCTTTTCCATGGCAAATAAAAAACACAGATTTCTTGTTATCTCTGTAATGTAATCAACAACTCAGGAAAAAGCTCATGTACCATTTTTGCCAGACTGGTTAGTTTCTCATGCATGTGGTTGAGAACACAGAAGACTGCTGATCTTGGTTCTTACATAATCACACAATCCAAGGAGCAGGCAATCTTCCTGATGATTTCACTTTGTACCCAACAAGCCATGGAAGACTGGTGTGTTTAATGTCACTATCCTCTTAAGCTGCACTTGGAACACTTACTTTGAAGATTAGGAGCTATAGTCCAACGTGTAAGAATACTTTTGGCAGACTTTACTTTGTTAGCTGTTGATTTATCAGCAATCACAATAAAAAGACAGAGGCTTTAGAGGAGACTATCAAGAATGAAGCAATGTCTCTGGTTAAATATCAAGTCATGCTGCTTTTAATACTGTTCCATTCCAATGATTTGGATACAAAGGATTTTATTTTGAATAAAATCAAAATTAAAAAATCCTGGTTTATTACTTCTGCCTTTACTTGTCATATTTCTCATAACTTCATTTAAATCTAACAATACAGACAATTCAGCCCTATTGCTTACTAGTGCAGCTAATAAGGGCAATAATAATATCCATTATCTTAGTCTGATTACTGTTCTTATGCTGTATTTATGGATCCCTTCCTTTAGGGAAAATACCTTAAATCTGTCTTATAACACAAAGTTGCATAGTTGTGTGCCCTGATATGCCCAGAATGAAAACTGAGAGATCAGCTGCTGAAAAACACCTGAAAAGAAAACAGATTTTATTTCTGGTACAATCTGGAATATCTAAATATAAACTGCTTCTCTTATATTCTCCAGGCTTTTGCTAAAGAAGGAGCCCAAGTCATTGCTACAGACATCAATGAGTCTAAACTGCAAGAACTGGGGAAATATCCAGGTAAATGCCCTACAGCAGGCATTAGTTCAGCTCTTACAAGTTTTGTGTAGGCTGTCTGAGATACATTTTGAGGATAAGACAGCTTGAAAAAGACAGAAAAAAAGGAAAATATCCAGACAAATTCTTTCAATGTTTGCATTGCTTTATTCTGTGATGTGAAATACCAGAGGTTTAGCATGTAAAATATTGCAACATTAGCATATCAGAGTAATATTCCAGACAAGTGGAATGACTGAGTTTCTTGTGTCACAAAAGAAGTTGATATTTGTTTGCTAGAATAGCACCCTAAAGTTACCTTTTAGCATCACTAGGCTAATTATCAAGTGCATCACTCTGGAAGGCATGGAATGCTTTTCTCTGATCAAGAGAATATACAAAAAGGTAGACCCAGTGTTTTGCATTTCTATGGTCTATACTTGGCTTATCTTTTTAATGCATTCCTTACTGTCTTGTAGAATCTGCATATCTTCAGAAACTTAATTCTAGCAACACTAGATACACCTATTCAGTTTGTACAAATGTTCAGGAATATTGTTTTTCTACTGACACCACAGAAACATGCTTCAAGGAGCAGGTTTTGCACAGATGTGTTTCTAATCACAGGTGACACAAGCGGGACATTACATTAAAAAGTATTTTTCCAATATTGAAATAAAAAATAAGACTTCGATATAGTTAACAGCTGAAAATGCTTCTAACTTGATTTGAGAGAAAAAAGTGGATTTAATGAGTTCCTACTAAAGGCTGACAGTAAAATACACAAAACCACAGCTGGCACAGCTTTTAGTGTGAATATCAGTCTGCCACCTGGAGTTCACCACAGGCTTTGTAATTGTTTGGGAACTTAAGGACTTTTCAGATTCCTTCTGAGAGTGTTTTGGGAAAGTGTTACATTTTTTCCCTCTGCTAGTATGCTCACAAGAAAAGAAACAATTTCCCGTATACTCAGAGGCATTTATATCCTTTAGACATATGAGTAGTCAATCTATAATTCATCAAGACTTGGCACGTTGAGGTCTTTGAATTTTATCCAGGAGAGGTAATTCCAATGTGATGTTAATCACCAGCCTGTAGGCTGGTCGAATACACAAATCTCTTAAAAAGTGTCTCTAGAATTTAACTTAAGGCATAGAAAGCCTATTCAGCCTATTCAAGCTTGTCGGGTTTCAAAAAAACCCAGGTTTTTATCCATTTCAAATCAAATTCCCCTTGAAGTTAGACAACATTCAGATGCTTTACAGAGAGCTTTACAGTATTTCATGGAATTGTATCTGCTGGGTGAGACTTCTGGAGGCCATGTAGTTCCATCTAGTGCTCAAAGTGGCACTGGTTAGAGCAAGTTGCTCAGGGCTGTGTTTAATCAAGTTCTGAACATCTCTGAGGATGGAATTTTCTCAATAATCTCTGAAGGGCCCTGTTCCAGTGTGACTGCCTTCGTGATTTTAAGAATTTATGCAAAAGCATTTTTCCTTATTAATTAATTTATATAAAGCTCATTTATAATATCATAAACTACATATGAGAATGTGGCATGAAATGGCACTGTAAGACACATGTAACTAGTTCTAAGTGTTATTCTATGATAATGAGCATGAAAGTTTATTACTATATAGGTTCTCTAATTCTTCTGTGTGAGAGTATAGTGAAATTCAAATTTATTTGGAATGTTTTGATGGTAAATTAAGCTAGCTCATCTGCTTGTGTCATGCTGCATAACAATTAAAACAGTTGATCATTTTAATTCTCTCCTGAAATTTTAAATAGCATAATATGCTGTCCCAGATTAACTGCTGCACTAACTTAATCATTGAGTGAATTGAATTATAAGTGCTACCCTCAGCACATCAGAAAAATAATCATCTGATCCTTGGTAAAATATATTGAAACAAATGCCATGTTTTTTCTAGGCATTCACATACGAGTTCTGGATGTCACCAAAAAGGAGCAAATAGAAAATCTGGCCAAGGAGATTGAAAAGATTGACGTCCTCTGTAACATTGCAGGGTAACCGGATTCTCTTTGCTATTTTTCCAGTTTTTCCTGTTCTCCAGAACCACTTTCTATTACTTCAATGCATTTTATTTGTTATGTTTTAATGGATTTTTTTACCCTTAATACTAACTTTCATGTGTTTTCATCAAAACAGAACTTTTTGTGCACAGCTACATAAGCCAGGCCAAGATAGAGCAGCTCTGGAACTTATGTTTTCCCTACTCTATGTGTACCCTGTACCGATGGCTTTGACCCTCCTAGCACAACAGTGAACAAAGCTGACAGTCTGCTAGTGCTCTACTTTTTTTAAAATGTCTTCTATTGTCAATCATTTTGTTGTACATACTGAGTCTGTTTTGTTTCTTTGATACTTGTCAGAAGAAATACAGTGCTTTCATTCTTCAAAAGAGCTCTTATCCTCTCATTTTCAAGCTTAGAAAAAAAACAGAAGTGGAAAAAAGGCCATAGAAATGTAAACCACAGACAGTAATCCACTTCATGCACTTATTCTAGGTTTGTTCATCACGGAACCATTCTGGAGTGTGAGGAGCAGGACTGGGACTTCACGATGAACCTCAATGTTCCCAGCATGTATCTCATGATCAAGACGTTTCTTCCAAAGGCAAGGCTTGGCTGCCCTTGACTTTCAGTCTCTGCTGCTTTGTTTGAAGTGTGAGAGATCAGAGTTGTTGCCACTGTGACAATATACAAAATACAAGCACGCAGCTTTGGATAGGGGAGCCCTTAGATTACAGTGATTGTACTGTAAAACATTCTCTGCATTGCATAATATTTCAAGTAGGCAATTTATCTGAAGGATATGGTAGAGAATATTTATTTGGGGAGTTGGCATATGTAAACTAGATAAAATACTCCAGACTTTATGCAGGGCAGTGAGGGAGCCATTGCAATACAGTGCTAATGTGTTACACTACAGCACACAGCTGCACAATACAACTCCTTCAAAATATTTATAAATAATGTATATTAACATGAATTTTATACAGCTCTGGAGACTATCTTGTGAAGAAATTCAGGGATGCTGATGCTAACATGCTGATTAGAGAACAACAATTCAATGAATGTAGCAGCTCGAAGATGTTTCTTGGTTTTACATGATCACTAGGTTTGGGTCTACAAAAACTTGCGGACTTAATAAAGTGTTCACATTCCCGTAAATGCAAGGGCCAGATTTAAAAGCTGTGACCATAACTGGATGACAACTACTCTTTTCAGTTTTGTTCCAGTTCTTTTTGCTTGGTTGGTTTGGTTTTCAGTTTGTTTGGGGGTGGGTTTTTTCTTAGCTGAACTTAATTTTCAAAGTTTGGGGGTTTTTTAACAACTTCAGGCATATCAAGTTTTAGGATGCCTAACTTAAAGAAAATTAGCTACAATTCATAGATGCTAGAGTGTTATGCTTTAGTCTTCTCCAAAACGAGAAAAGTTTGAGTGGGATCAGTGAGTTGCTGCATTGGTAGATGGTATCAGCAGATGTCTGTGTGGTGTAACTTATTGTCATGACAAGAAGGCAATGACTGAGAGGTGGTGACCTAGCAAAAAAGTCCTTTCCTGGCATAGTTTTCAATCCTGACATGGCTCTGGGAACTGTGTGAGAATTTCAGACTCTGCTTTACTGCTTCAGTCAATGGCATCTGCCCATGCCAATTAAGCTTTGTTACCCTGTGTATTAAGTGCGTGTAGGGCTGTTCTGTGAGTTGCTGTGGGCTATTTTGCTGAACCTGCAGATGAAAAAATAGTTTGCACTTGAGTGACATAAGTACTCTTTCGCAGATGCTTAAACAGAAATCTGGAAATATTATAAATATGTCTTCTGTGGCATCCAGCATCAAAGGTCAGTAGGTTGCTAGAGTTCCTTATATAACTCTTTAAGGTGATGGATATGCAGTATAAATATTATGCAGCTTTGAACTTAGAGGATATTCTAAATTCAAAGCTATTTCTAAATCCTCTAGAGGGATTGGGGGGAAAAAAGTGAACACATTCAACTCTAACTTAAATTCAAGGACACAGATGGAACATTGTAGAAACTCCAAGATCCTGAGCTTTTTCAATGTTTTATAGCATACTTTTTACCAGTATTTATTAACTAAAAAGAAATTACTTCCAGTGATATCTCGGTACATATGTTCTTCAGAGATACAATGAATCAATGACAATAACATAAGTGCTGTTAACTATGCTTTCAAAAGAAGCCTGACCATGATTAACAGATGGATTTCTGCTGTTCCTAAATCTTTGCTGCTTGTTACATTTTCTCGACCAGTCCCCAGACTTACACTATTGAAAGATTGTGTGCTTTCCTCTGGTGCATACCTGTATAGAATTCTGACAGTTGGCATTTTAGCTAGCCTGCCCTTATGGAGAGGCTACAGCTGCTATAGGAAATGCTGGAGTCCAGAAGCAGGTGCATATTGAACAATCCTGGCTCTTTATTTTTTTCTTTTTTTTCCTTTTTAACTATGTTTCTGTCCTGCCTTAACATAGCCCTTCTGTTAGGAGTTGTGAACAGGTGTGCCTACAGTACTTCAAAGGCAGCAGTTATTGGGCTAACAAAGGCTGTGGCTGCTGATTTCATTGAACAAGGCATCCGATGCAACTGCATATGTCCTGGTAAGTGTTCTTACATTATTCTGTGAACTAGGAGCAGATGCCAGAAGGCCAGATTGAGTTTGGCTTTTTTAACAAAGCATAGACCTGCCAGTGGCAGCTGAAGTTACCAGCAGTCTACAAGAACAGAGCGTGCTTGAAATGCTTAATATAGGAAAGTTGTTATTCTGTGGTTAAGCTAGATGTTTAGATGATTAATCTGGTATCTGCACTTTATACATACATTACACAGTATTTGAATGGTTGTTTTCAAAGATGCAGTCTAGGAAGTTAGAAGTAGGCAAGAGCTAGGTAACAGCCTGACCATTGTTTAACCATCTGGAATGTATTGAATCTAACTCTCAAAACTCTTGCCTTCTACTAAAATTTAAAACTGTGCTTTATTGGTAGCTTTGCAGTCTTTCTCCTGAATTAAATTACAAAGTTACACATAGGTGTTAAGACATACAAATAGAACAAATAAACTTTTGTTGTGATTGCTGATGCAGTTGATTTTTAACACTGAATTTAATATTTTGCTTAGGAACTGTGGACACACCATCTTTACAGGAAAGAATCCAAGCCCGACCTAACCCAGAACAGGTGAGAAAGCAGTTATTAGCTTGGTCACATGTGTAGATATGCTTAACTCTCTTTAAGAAAAGAATATATAGCTGTACTTCTACTCATATTCAAGAATGACCTCAATTTCAGAGTACTGTGGATAACTTAACATTGCTGTCTCATTTGAAATTGTGGTCAGCTTGAACTTGAGAGAGAAGACTTAAGGACTGACCAGAAGTGAAGCCTCAGAAGGATAATATTGCTTAGTGAATGCAGACGGTCTTTCATCCATGGAAGCAACTCTAGGTGTTGGTTACAGTACCCAGTGCAAAAGCAGAGGACATTTTCTATTGCAGCACGTGTCAGCCACGAGGTAGTGCAAAAACAATACAGACAGGGCACTCTGGCCTATGCATTTCAGTGTCATTTGGGATGCCTAACTATCCTTATTAGATAATGACAAGTTCTCATTTGAAGGACATGGGAATATCTACCACCAAAGGAAAAAGGATTTTATGTTGGCTTTATTCTGGAACCAGAGATTTAGGTGCTTTGTAAAAGTCTCCTAATTTTTTTCAACCTGAAATTCACATCCCTGTTGATTTTATGTTTTCCCAGCTTTAACTCCCTACTTAGTGCACAAAGCGAAGTTATGACTAGAGGCCTGTTCCCAATATTGCTTTAACCTATGTCAATAGGTTAAAATAATTGCTTTTTTATTTTTGATACACCAAATTCTCTTGTATATCCAGGCATTGAAAGATTTTCTAGCCAGACAGAAGACTGGCAGAATGGCTATTGCTGAAGAAGTGGCCCATCTCTTTGTGTACTTGGCCTCTGATGAAGTAAGTATTTTAATAAAATACAATGTCCTGTCACAGAATCCCATGCTACTTTGCTGCTTCACAGTAGAGAGGGTATTTGTTTTGGAACAATTTATGTTCTCTTTGAGCTGTATTATTACAAAAACAAAAACCAAACTATGTTCTTTTTCTGAATTCATCCTGCAATACAAAAGATATTCTGAGTGCTGACAGTGATTGCAAGGCATTATGTATTTGGTGCCATAGCCTGGTGGTTTCATGTCACTTGAGCAAAATGACTGACCCCAGATCATCCTGAATGAAGAGTAAATGAGAAATGAGCTTGTCAGCTTTACCAAGCTTGCACCATGGCTAGATCATGTTTTAAGGAGGTAAATTAGTAGAGGTGCTGGAGATTTTAGCTAATGCTCAGGGTGAATCTGCCATTCCAGCATAAGGAAAACAACACACCCACTGTGGTTGTTGCACATCAGACTCTTGATGACCACTGCAAAAACCACCACCACTAATGAGGACATACCAATGTTATTTCTGCTGCTATAAATTTACTGAGACTAAAATCTGGACTGGATTTGTCTGAATGTGTCCAGCAGTCCTAATGTGCATTTTAAAATACTTCAATGGATTTAGTTCAGTATTAATGTTGCTATCTATCAGTAGTCTGTTTCTCAATTACATCTTGGTTTTAGTATTTCCATAATGCTAAGAATTTTTTCACAGGGTTTCCCATCATGTGTAAACAGAATTCAATTTTTTCACTATATTCAGCATGTTTCAGCATTGATATAGGAAAGAATGACAACAGCTCAGTTGCTTACCCCACTATCTGTATAATCTAATAGTTAGGTCCCATTATAATTATTGGCTGACCTGGTCAGCTTCTGCTCATCTGGATAGACCTAATAACATCATAGTGTGAGGTATTCCTGCAGGTAAGATATCTGAAGTCTAGCTTTTGTAAGTTTGTACTCTCAGGATGCATTCTCATCTTAATGCCTCTAACAATACTTCTGCCACACTTCCTTGAATTAAGTAAAAGGCTTTAATTTCTACGTTTGTTTCTATTTAGATCTTATATTACTTACTCAGCTATTTTTGTAAAACATAAAAAAGGTACACAAAAAGAAAGCATATTTTTTAATTTAAAGAAAAAGTATTTCCCTGAAATTAATAGCCATGAAAAATTACTTTAAATCATTGTTTATTTTATGTAATTTCAGTCTGCCTGTGTGACTGGTAATGAACTAATCATCGATGGAGGATGGAGCTTGTGATTGACTCTACCTGCAAATGGAAATTCATACTATGATGGTGTCCTGGGGTACAATGCAAAAATGTGTATTCTATCACCATCTGTTAAAATGTGGGAGGGGTGGTGATCCTTATCTTTGTGGGAGATATCCTCTGCTGATGTGCCATCTGATAAGATCGGGGGAGTTATCTATTCACAACCCATCCTTCCTCCAGAAGATATATTCCGTTAATGGGCCATTCAGTCCTATTGTGTGACTGATAAGATTACATCATCCCATTGGGAGATGCCCCAGCCAGGGGCAGGAGCCAAGCCTTTCCTACCTAGATAAAAAACTGGGGTTTGGGACCCGAGGGCAGACCTTTCTACTGGATCCCAGAGGAAAGTCGGACCTTTTCCACATCATGGCTGGATCTTCGGAGGAAAACTGCATCTTCTACAGGAGCACTGCTTCAACTGAACCACATCCGTCATCCAGGAGGACTGCAGCCACCATTTATATGGACTGCTACCAACACCCTGACTGACAGGGTGTCAGGTTGTATTTCTGACTGTGTTGGTGGTTGTTTCTTTTATATTATTGCATGCATTTTATTTTTTCTCTTTTCTCCTATTAAATTGTATTACTGACTTGGAGTCTTGCACTGGTTTTACTTTCAAACCAACGCAGATGGGCAAAAAATAAGGATGGTGTTTCTTGCAAAGATTGAGATCATGCATGTGATGTCTTTCCAAACAAATTTGCTGCTATCTCTCTCTAGATTGATCTTACTGATTAGCTTTTCCTTAAATAGAGAAACACTGGAGTAAAACATACTTCATGTGGCTTCAACTTACGGCAACTCCAAAAGCATGAAAGAACAGCAGTTTAATGTTTAAGATTTCAAGAGGCCAAAAATTTAATTTAAGTTAGAAAATCTGAGTTGTATTTTAAGCAAAATCTGAATGAAAGGAATTAACTATTATCTTTATTCTCATATTACAAGGTATTTGGAAATTAAATACTCACAATTAGATTTTCATGTACAGGAACCACTATGTAAGGGCAGTATTCCAGCAGGTATAGATGGGGGTGATGTGTGAGAGTATTCTTAAATACATGGTTGGATCTTCATGAATATGCTTCACTTGTAGCACAAAAGCAAAAGGAGTGGATTTTACCACTCTAGATGGAGCCAATATACTCCTCTCCAAAACGACATACTAATACTGGACAAATTCTATAAAATCTGTTGCTAGGTGCTACACTTTGGTGCTCTATGCTTTATTCTCAAGTACCAATACAGTTCACACTAAAGCACAAGGCAGAATTTCTCTGCAAAGGACTGTTTCTACATGAGTATGTGCTAATGTTTTTATTGTGATAGCACATGGTAGGTTTGATTCATGAAATAGAAACCTATTATTGTCAAGTTTCATAACTCTGCGAAAAAACAAAGGTCCTGACCCAGAGATATAAGGCAATGAATAACTTGAATTCACAATGTTTTGCTGACATGCTGCTTAAAACTTACATGAACTACATGTCTAACTGCCTATAAACATGGTCACCTTTAACATAGCTCCATTTATCTAATTCATAAATGAAACTCCATGTAATTTAATACATATGTGATGGAGGAATTAAGGACTAAATGCTACTGAATACTATTAATCAGTAATCAAAGCACAGAAAAAATGTACAATATTGTGTGTGTGTTTCTGTTACAACAACTGCCATGTTTATAAAATTATTGTTTAAGCTTTTCAGTATCAGCTGAAGCATTAACATAAATTATTTGATTTCAAAGATAATGAAACACATCCAGTTAAAATCTTGCCTCTTATTTTAAAATAATTGTATGTAAATATAAATTTTACAAAAGAGAAAAGTATTGTGGATAATGACTTCTTAGCCAATAGTTAAGTGGTTTAACATTTACCTTTAATCACGGTTGGAGCATTCTGACCTTGTGTAGTTTGTTTATGGGGTTTTAGAGAATCTCGTATTTCAATCAAGTGACCTTGGCAGCCAAGCAGGATCAAGTTGAGGAACAAATCCAAAGTTATCCAAAATGGCTCCAAAAATGTTCACTGACATAAATTCAAATACTAAAAATTGAGGCTGGCAGGACATGGTTTCTATGATTTCAGAGTTTAATACGAAGGCCAAAGTCCTTCTTTTGTAGTAGGTACAGAAGGCTTACCTTGAAAAGAGAATATTTCCCCACTGCAATAACACATGGAAAATGTATTGTGTATTCTAAAAATATAATTAAGAATCTGAGACAAAATTCATTATACTTACTGCATATTGACCATCATTGCTTACTTAAAGTTTCTAAGCTCGCTTAGAAGTGATTGTAGGAGACTGTAGTGTACAGTATACACAAAATGGCTGCATGCCATTTTGACAAGTGCCTGTCAAAGCACTTGTGCAGGAAAATAAGTACCACCTGCCTTTAAATTGCACTAAAGGCACAAGGGGCTTTTTTAGTGGTAAGCCAAGAATCTGGTGGGCCAGACAAGTAAAAATCAGCAGAGCTTGCTGCCTCTTGCCTTGTTAGCATTGTTTTTCATGGAGGTGCTAACAGTTGCAACTCTGAAATGTGTTCTGATGTCATGAGGTTTTTCAGCAGATTTGTAGGAATAATTAAAGGAAAATGCTTCTTAATGCTCTTGTGACCTAATTCCCTGGTCTGTTTTAAATGGAACTGGGTAATTCTCTTTGTTTTCCTTCCACCCCAGTGATAACATAAAGAGGCTTTTTGACTTTTAAGATTCTAGGTCAAACTTTTCTGTTGTGGGGGAGGGAGGAATAGACTTCCCTGATTCCGGGTCCTTCTGGAAAATTTAATCTGATCAAAAAATGCCTTCATTTTCTCTTGGATTTGTAGTCAGCTTAGTTCTGTGTGATGATACCAGGAGCAAAGTAGCAACATGTGGCATTTGACTCTGCTTTCACATGCATTCAGTGCAGCTTGCAAATTTAGGGTTGAGAAAAAGAGAAGGTTTGTCTCATTACATCATGTGCACTTACAAATGAGGTGGATCAACTTGCTTTGTCTTGAAGAAGTTGAAATGCCGGGATGGGAACAACATAAATATGCGAGTTGTGTTTGTTTGGGGTGGTTTTGGGGATTGGCTGGTTGGGGTTTTTTTAAATTGTGCTGCCTGCCCCAGTTTATTTTGTCTGTGCGCACCCAGAGCAGGATGAAGCAACAGCTCCTTACCCTTTCCTTGCACCAAATCTCCAGCTCCTCCCATGCCGCAGTCTGGGTTAAAGCATTGCCTGTACCTTCCCCATGCATCTTCCCACAGCCCTGGGAAAGGCGGCACAGAAAGCCTTTTCCGTGGCTACCGCAAGCAGTGAATGCCATGGGGGACTGGCTACCAAAGGCACCAAAATCTTCCTCCTGGATGCTCTGGCGGTATCCAGAGCTTTGGATGGAGTCGGGTCTGCTCCATCGCTCCCACCAAGCTGGCAGCTCGCACCAAGCCAGTCTCCTGCCGCCTTTCCCGCGGTGGCGTGCGGGAGGCCCTCAGGAGCATCCCCATCTGCCGCTGCTGGCCCGGGGAAGTCGTGGCTGTGAGGGAGGGCCCGTTGCTCCGGCAGCAGCAGCGGAGGAGGAGGAGCCGGAGCCATTCCCGCTCCGTTCCAGCGGGGTTTTCCCTCCTGCTCGCCGCTTTCGGGAGGTGCCGGCCAGAGGCTGCGGGGAGCCGATCGGATCCCTGGCTCGGGCCCGCCGTGCCCAGGTGAGTGCTCTGCATCTCCTGGCTCCCTGCATCCCAGCCCCTGCAGCGGGAGGGGTGGCGGGGCTGGGAACTGAGAGCGGGCTTGGCAGGCAGGAGGCTGCTCCCGCGCTTACATAGCGCCTTTTTGTGGATAATGAGGGTGTTTTAATCGTTATTTATTCTGAGTGCCAGTTGCTGTGGTGGTGATTGCGGTATTTCATTTGCATCGCTTTCTCCTCCTTCTGCGTGCGAAGCCGGATGCCGGTAGTCACCAGGCGGCAGAGCTCATGCCATAGGCCTGCACGTGCTGTCCCTGTCACTCAGCTCTCCCTCACTGCCCACTCAAAAACAACTGAAATGAGACCATCTAATACAAACCTTGCTGCTTTCAAAACGACCGAAGTGTATTTTACAGGGAGGTACTGTGACAATTGATAAAAGATTCGTGTTAATCACAAAAGCATTGGGGTTTGCATAAACCAGAATACTAAGCTCTGAAGTGAAGCATGGACACTAGATAAAGGAAATTATATTATTAAATAATTCTGTTTAAAATCACCTTGTTATATTATATTATGTTGTATTATGTTACATTACATTATGTTATATTATGTTATGTTTTTCAAATAAGTTGTATCGGCTACCAGCTTGCGAAATTGGACTTCCCAAAAAGCCCTTCCTGCCTTTGTCTGATCAATACTGCCTCTCCCAAAAACCAGACTCCCAGAACTTCTCTGGTGGTTATCTACAAAGATCAGACCTCCAGAACTTCCCTGGTGGTCATCTACAAGGACCGGATGGCTATCTGTGACTAATTATCACCCAAAGGCTTTGTGAATTTGTGAACAACGAGAACCCACAGTATAAGAAGAGGCTGCAAACCAAGGTTCGGTGGAGCGTGGAGTGGGCAGTGACCCCTCGCGTTCCCCAGCACACTGTTTGCTCTTTCTATATCAAATAAAGCAATCTAAAATTTTGCTGAATATCGAGACTTTTGTCTCTCGTTTATAACAGTACTGAAATAGATCTGTTCCTGGCTGGTTTCCATGGGATAAGCCTTAACCCTGAGCTATAAATTTGGCTCAGTGGTTTCTCAATCACTGATTTTTGTTGGCATAGAAGGTGAAATTGAAAAACCAAAACAGCCCCCTCACCCCCAAAAACCTGTGAACTTCCAAAAGACCCATGCTGGTGTTATAAATTCACTCACCACAATGGGGTAGGTCAGTCAATAAGGCAATTTATTATTTCCTGATAAGGAATGGGCAGGCAGCTCTGGGGACACAGGGAGTCTGCACTCTGCCAACACATCCGTCCTACCCTTGGTCACTGCCCCTTCGATAGGCAGTTCCTGGTGGCGTCATGTTGTGCCTACTGTACTGGGGTACAAGCCCGAGCAAGCCCAAACACGTTGGCTACCATTCAGGTAGCAGGGGCTACAAGCCCCCACCAGGCCTGGACAAGGCTCGAACGTGTTGTCAGGTTACACTCCTAGCAGGCAGGTAACAGCAGCGGCAAGTTTGCTCATGTCCACACAAGCCCGCGTTTCCTTATACATAAAAAGTGGATACAAATCATAATTGTAGTGACAAAATAATAAAAAAATACATAAAAACAAAAAGCCAAAAATTTACAATAAAATGATTTAAACAAATACAATGAAATCATTAGATTTTCCTATGTCTCATGTCCATGCTTTACTTTGCATTCAGTATTCTTGTTTCTATTGATCCCGTGGTGTATTTTCATAATTACACGAATCACCATGTAACATCTCACACTGGCATCAATACACTAACTACTCACTTCGGTCCCGTTGATCCCAAGGACAGTGGGGAAAAAAGAGGATTCTTAATCCTTCCAACAGAGTGAAGACTTGCCACAAAACAGATAAGCACTGTACTATTAGATTCCTCATTCGCTCCCTGAAACCATTCCTGTTAAACAGAACATTCAATATCCCTGCTCAGTCAATCTTTCCTGTTCCACATGCTGCTGTGAACTGCGCTTTCAGGAGCTGAAGCTGTGGCAAGGTGGCCTTGCCTTTCTCAGAACTATTAATGTATTCTGTGTCAAGGGCTACTTGACTGATCTGGGATGTTGCCCATGCAAAGCTGGATGGAGAACAATTTCCTTCTGTCCTTTGCTTGCACACAAACCAAGTGCAAAATTAAGTACATAAATCCACCCTGGGAAAGTGGTCAGTGAAGGGAAAGAGAGAGGTACTGGTAAGTTGCTGATACTTTCTATTCCAGTTAGGAGGACTGGCATTTGTGTCTTTGTAGCCCCATGAAGGGATTTTTAAAAAACCAAACCAAAAGTATCACTGATATAATTTAAAAAATCCTAAAACCATAACTATTTGGTTCTGCAAGTACTAATTAAAAATACAGAAAAGTACTGAAAATTGAGTAAATCAACTAGTAACTTAGAACACACCAAAAGTGTTTGCCTATGGCTCTGTCTTCTTCTGTGCCTTGGTCATTCCTCAGGCCAGTTTGATATCAGAACAGCTCAAACCAAACTTTATAGGTGTTAGAATGGCCCTTGTCTTTATAGTATCAGCCATTCCCAAATATCAAATATTTAATTTTAAACTTGAGGCTTGATAATTGTGAGAATCAGCTCTGACTTACTTCCAACCATCTAACAAGGAAGGAATTTCTTAGCTCAGAAGTTCTGGCTTAACTTCACTGGTGTTTTTTATGGCCAGAGCAGTGACTTGAAAGACATTTAGCTGATGGAGAATATATGCCAGCCTTTGCTAGAAGAGAGAACACTATCAAGCCTTGTCTCCAGATACGTGCCTGCCCCCCTTGATGGTGCACACTTCTGAAACTACAGTAAGCATGTGCACCAAAAAATATCTGACATACAAAACAGTGCACTGCCATATTTCTTGTTAGAATCTATGGGGCAAAAAGTAGACCAGTTAGAGTGAGTAAATAGGATGATAATTATCCACAAATTACTTGGATCTTATTTCCCACTCTGAGAAGTATCTTCATGGGATATAATCAGTAAAAAAGAGCCATGTTTAATCAGGCTGCAAGCTGTGGAAAGTCCTGATCTTTATTCAAACAGGCATCTTCACTTTCTTATATACTCAGTCAATGTATTTGTAACTAGTAGCATCTACAGAAACACATTCTTAAAATTCCTCTGAAAATCAACCTGGAGCAGTCAGGCTTAAGTTAGGGGGGAAATGTCCCCTCCTGAACCTTTAGAAACCTCTTAGTGTTTTAGAAATTATGGTTGTTCTAACTTTATTAAATGGTCACTTGCACTGACATATAAAAAGGGCCTGTTATGCTTTCAGAACTAATGGACCTGATAAGTGGTGCTGACAGCAAATAACCTTTATTATGGGCTGAAAGGAGGCGCAAATGGATAAAGATGCATTACAGCCGTACTTTTAAGAAGGAATGAAGAGGTTAGCACAGATAATTGTGATTCTAAAACTCAGATATTGGTTTTGGGTTTTTTGTGCTTGAATTTCTAAACTTAATATTGTTCTTTGGTTAGTTTCTGTCTCTTATTCTTAGGTAAGCATACAGAGGGACAGAAAAACCACTAAACTTGAAATTGGGCTGAGAGGATTTTTCCGCCTGGTCTCTGGGGAATAGCAACATCTCTGAGAAGTCATCCGTTTGGAAAACAGTGATTATTTGCTTCTCTTAAACTTTTTCACCTTTCTTTCTTTATTTAGGTTTGCAACAATGGTAAAGGAAGATGTAAATGACAGTGGAGATTCTGAACCATCAGTATGTGAGAGAAATGGCATGATTCCCATGCATGAGCAAAGTGAGGTAATTAACTAGGATCTCAAAGTATCGTTCTCATCAGAGAGAACCCTCCTTTTCCTTTTTTCCTTTTTTTAAGAATAAAATTCTTAATGTCAAAGGCACTTAAAAGTAAGCCTATAGTGTTGAGAGTATCTCATATAGATGTCTGTATAGCACATCTTTATGCATATGGTGATCACCGAATCATGGGGTAAACAATTAACTCCATGCTGAAAGCTCACGAGATTTGTGTTCCAGTCATGACTCTGAGTAAGGAATATATATATAGAGAGAGATAGAGAGAGAGAGAGAGAGAGGGAAGAGACCAGAAAAATAATCAGAAATGTGGAACTATTACTGGAGGAGGGCCAAACCACATTATAAGCAGAATTCCATGTCTACAGTATGACAATATGCTGACATGAATAATCATACAGGAAGGCAGATGATTAACTTGTCAAAAATAATGCTAAAATTAAGTGAGACATATCCAAAAATGGTCAAAAAGTGCTTTGGTTATGAATATGGATAAGTACATGTACCAGTATAAGAGAACAGCTTCAAGGAACTTCAAGGGAATAACTCCCAGGGTAGTATTTCTCCATTTCTACTTTGACTTACCAGCCTGAGCCTTCCAGCATGGATCATGTGAGTAAAGCTTGTGCTGGCCAGCTGTGCTGTTACTTTCATCTTTGTTTTGTTAGTTTGGTTCAAGGCTTTGCAACAGAAGTTATTTAGGAGTTAGAGTAATAGCATCATCTCACTGGAATTATTCTAATCATTAACTGTGTTGTGAAATCCAGTCTGGAAGCAGGACCTTATAAAATTGTAGGAAATATTGATAAATGTTAAGTTTTGTACACAAGACAAGCTGAGCCTGGCCTGCTATTATTTTTTCTTCATCAAATATGGAAACACTGTTACTGCACAGGTGCTATATCTATTAGGACAGGAGCTCTGTTAGTTGCAGATAAAAAGGCAAATGTCCTGCAATTTCTCACATGTAGTTCTTTGTGCCACGCAAAAAACAAACACAGAGCCAGAAATTCAAAAAATACGTCACTATATTATTAAAATATGTCACTATATATATTGACATTCCACTTAGGAACGTCAAAGCTGGACATTCCTATAGTAGTTGTTTAGTTAATGTACTCAGCTGTAGCCAGTGTGGATCCAGTGCATCTCAGCTGACTTCAGGTGTTGCACACTGCTTCAAATACATACAGTGCCACTTCTGAGGGAGTCTCCTTGTTTGCCTTCAGCAGGGACCAACAGCAGATGCCAGAGGTACTGATGTGAATGCACAAACAGAAGAAACTGCTCTCTTGGACCACTGCCCTCAGCAACTTCCAGAACCAACAGCAGGGTCTTCAATACCTGCAAGAACGCGGAGGCAAATATTTGCTTGTCCTCCTCAGGGTTTACTGGCCCAAACAGTGACAAATGGTAGGTAAGAGAGACAGACTTTAATTAAAATGAGAAATGGCAAATTAAGTGCTTCTTTCTCTGAATGGGATGGTATCTGTCCTCTGTCCTTGAAAATAATGAATGGAAATAGCTGTGTTTTACTTATCACAGTGTTGTTTGAATGTTTTAGCCAGAGGGGGAAAAAAAAGATTGAACAAAGGTTTGAATGTACAGTTTTTGTTTCTCCAGTCTCATATGTTTACTATGGTAGGTATGTTTTCGTACTGCAAACTATTTTTATCAGAAGAAAGACCTCCTAATTTTTGTGTTGATAGTTTGTCTTTAATACCACAGGCTTGCAAAGCCAAGAGTCCTCAGTGCAAGGCAAACTGATCTGTTTTGTTTAGAATTTGTCCTAAACTGAAAACTCTCAAAAGAGATGCCTGGCTAGCCAGTTATTTCAGATTTTTCCCAAGAAAAGACATTTAATGTGTCTTTGATTGCTTCCACAGCCACTTGGAATTCTTAGGCTTTTATGTTTGGAAATCTACTAGTCTACCTTTGCCATCTGTCACCCTCAAGTAAGATTAAGAAAACTACAATCTGAAAATGAAAGACATTACTCAACACATTTTTTTCTTCTCCTTCAGTCTTCTGTTTTGTATTTTTGTGTGCCTTTTCTTATTGGACAACTGTTGGATGAAATTTGTGAACCTTGAAAGAACATAGTGTTTTCACATATTATATTTTCACACACCATTCTCATAATATTTTTCAGGATTTTTCTCCCTTCTGTGTTATCCTGCTTTGATTGTTGTATCATTGCTGTGTTTGTACTCCAGATGTTCAGAGACATGACGCTCTTCAGAATTTTTTTCCCAGGAGTAACAATGTATTGCACAAACACATTCAGCCAAAAAATGATGCTTCAGTTCTTTTCAAAATTAGACTGGAGCTGCATTCATCAGCTTGAAGATATGCCAGGCTGTTCAGCAGTAGATTTTACTGTGGTTCTGAAGGAAGATAAGCAAATGCAAGATAAGTTAGTGAAAGTCTTTGTTTTAAGTTTGGAACCTGTGAAGTGCTTTTCACAGCAGACCAAGGCTCATTAAATTAATTTTGATATTTAGTGATGTTCCTGTTACCAATTTTAAAGTATTTTAGCATCTATAAAATCAGAACATCAGTTTAGGGACCATCAAAAATTAACTGCATTGTTATGATTAAACTAATTTTTAAGGTAAGTAATTTCATTTCTAAAAGTCATAGTTAACTTTTAATAGCAAAGCAAATGTGATCTAACAGCAAAGTTGTTTCTGAGAGATGATTAAATATTAATTATTTTTTATTTTGTTCCAGTTGCATTTGTGGTCCTGGTTTGGGCTGTGGTTTGGTCCATAACTGGGGCTGAGTGTCTCCCAGGTGGAAATCTCTTTGGAATTCTGTTTCTTTATTTCTTTGCTGTCATCGGAGGTAAAATTTTTGGATTCATTAAAATACCAACACTACCCCCTCTTCCTGCTCTTCTCGGTAAGATATCCGTCCTTCTTTTCTTCCTTCATGTTTTGTGTTGTTTAAGCCATGAGGTAATATCTGTATGGTAGACATGTTTGGACTGGGAACAAATAAACTGTCACATTCAAAATCTGTACTTTTTCCAAATGACTTTTTCTGGTCCTCTCTGGAAAAGTGTGAAATTCCCCAGACTGGCTCAGGTGAAATTAACTAAGGCTCTCTTCTTAATTCTTTATGGGTCAGAGAACTGTATGCCTACAGACTCAAAGTTAATTATCCTTCAGACCCTTCTGTCACAAATACCAAACAGGAATCTTAATCCAGACATCATCTTACAGTTGAATAGTAATCTCTTTGCAAAACTGTTGCCGAGCTGTTTCTTTAGCATCTCACACAGTGAACATGTTTTCCGAAGAAAGCATTACAGCAATACCCTCCTAGTGGTAGTCCAAAGGATTTCTTTCTTCTCCTTCCTTTATCTCCAGATAATTGAAACCCGATATTCACAACAAGGAATAATTCTTCTGCAGAGAGTTATTCTGATTAAATCATAACATTTTTTCACATCAACATCCTATTTTATTTTACACAGAAATGCAAAATAGAAATGAGAGATGAAAATAATGTTAATTCTGACATTTTAAAAATCTGTTCAGGTTTCTTTCCTAGAGAAGATTTTATACTTGCTTAGATGACTGCAATATTTTGAAGTGCTGTGATGTCAGTGAAGCCAGAAACTCCAGGTTCTCACCAGCTGTGTCCTGTCCCCTTGCTATGTTTAGTGCATAAATGAGTAAAGCTGTTGACTCACAGTAAAAGTCTTTGGCAGGGTGGGCCTGCAGTGCCCAGGTGTGGTTCTGCAGCCTGCACAGCTGGTGTTGTGCCTCATGCAGGAGCTGCACACACGGCTCTGTCCAGGCAGCATGTGCACTCTTGTGCTGCTTAATTTCACCAGAGATAAAAATTCAAATGAGAGGGAGGGAGGTTTTGCATATGGTATGCATGCCTGCAATATGAACCCGGAATGTCACATGTAGGGAGTCTGCCCTGTCTAAGTAAACACCCCTCTTAAACAAATAAAAGTATTTCTGACCATTTGGATTCTGCTTGTTTGGGAGTTTTTTAATTACATATGTATCCAAAAGTTATGAGTTGAGCATGACTGCTTGTCAGACAGGTAATACTGGACAACAGAAACTTCAGCATGACAGCACATGTCTCTTGAGTTGTTTAGGACAGAGTTCATTGTTCTGATCCCCAGCCTTTGAGGAAAATAGAGTGTAAAGTGGCTGGCTGAGCACTTAAGCACCTTATTGTGAGCCTCTCTCTCAGGAAAAAAGGAGTGAAATTGGTACTGAAACAATCACATAATACATTTTAGGTGCATGTTGTAGACAGAGGTTTCTGCAGCAGGACACATGGAGCAAATCAGTTAAGATACCCTTTGAGGTGGAGATTTTTGCTTTGTTAAGTAGATTTCCAGATCAGGGTAGCTCCAGTGACTTGGACCTCATGCAAGTGTTGCAAAGAGCATGTGATCACAGTGCCATCCTGATATCACTGTCATAAGGTGCCACAGATTAATTATGACACTGTTTTTTTCTAGGAGGTTGTAGAAACAGTGTCTGAAGGTTTAGAGTGTCCCAGGACAAATCAAGTTCACAGTCAAGGCTCACACCAAGCTGGGACCAACCTGAGCACACTGATTTGTTTACTTTTTGTCTTTTTATAGTTTCCGGTTTCTGAAGATGACTAATGTAAAGTTATGCCACAAAAATGTATCTTTGAATCATCAGGACTCACAATGAATCTCTGTAGATCCATATTTATAGTCAACTTTTCCTGTATTTTTCCATTTCCTTCCAGAGCTGTGGCTTTGATAGCTTTGCAGGAAGTCTCTGGTTGGACAGGACAGTTTTACTTTTTGTAAAAGGTTGTATCTTGCAAGTAGCTCAAGTACAGGATAAGACACATTTTCTGATTTCCCTTCCCTTTTTTATCCCCTCTTTGTGTAAGACTCTCATTGACAGAGCACTTAAAATGTTTTAAATTAATCCATGATGAGCAGGTTTAGATTATATTTCCTAATATATGCAGCATTATGGTTCCAGTGATACCTGCATTTCTTACACCTAAGAGGATTTTTAACAATGCCCAACTTCTGAGATAAATACAGTACATTAGATGATCTTCCTATTTTTGCATTAAAACAAGCTAACAAGTAAAAATCTTTCAGGATTTAGAGGTGTTTGTGCTTATGGTAAGTGTGACCTGCACCTGGTAAACAAAGCCGAATTCTTCTGACTCAGACTAAAGCTGTGTATCAGCATCCTGCTGATTTATTCATTGGCGACCTGCTGTGGTCTTAGGTCACTTTCACTGCTTCAGATATGTTCATCTCTTCTTATGCCTCAGTCCCATTGTTAAAACATGGCTAATAATTTGGAATACAAATTGTTTCTTTTTCTCTCATGAAAACATGATAAGGTGTCTATTTAAAGAGAGCTATGCAAACCTTTCTTGTGCAGTAAAAAACATGATTTGAAAGGAGCTTATTTGCTTTGACTTAAGGGATGCTACTTGCTGGTTTCCTAATTCGAAATACCCCATTCATCAGTGACTTTGTCCAGATAAAGCTACGCTGGTCGGCAGCACTGAGGAATATTGCTCTTTCCATTATCTTGACCCGAGCAGGACTTGGCCTGGATCCAAAGGTATGGCACCAGCCCTTTGTGTGTGGCAGACTATACAACAGCAATCCAAAAGAATTGAATAATTGGTTCCATTAGAAATATTGAGTTGCTCAGTCTTGGAATATCTGCAGATTAGATCATTATAGAAAGCATAGTTTCTGTTGTATAATTATATATACATGTATATATACAATGTTAATATTGATAGCTGGATTTGTACAGTAGGCAAGCAATCAAAAAAAAAAAAAAGAAAAAAAGAAAACTGATTTTGTTATTATTTTCATTTCCTGAATTTTGTGAGCAGAACAAATTGAGGATGTGTGCACCATCACGGTCTGTCAGGAAGAGTTTACACTCCCTGACAAATTCCCTGTTGATTTATACTGAAAATTTGAAGTAATGGAAGGGATCCCCAGTTCTTGAAAGAGAATGTTTTTGTGTGGCCAGAAATCCAAAAAACCCAACCAACCACAAAAGTGTAAACCCTGTGTGACTTTTAAAATTTTTTTTCTTAATCATTGCCATTTTAATGCAAGTAAGTTTATTGCAAAGATGAATCCTGCTGCACTACTGAAACAATGATTCTCATCAACAATGATGCCCCTAACAATCCTGTGAACAAAAAATAGTCTCTGCACCCTAGGGAACATGATATTTCATAAGTTGATGAAGCCAAGGTTTTGCTTATTCAAAATGAGCTGGCTGAAGTACAGCTGTACCATATTGGCCCCTGCCTGTTGAAGGAACTACTCAATTTATATAAAACTTAGGTAAAGTATGGGTGGTTTAGAACATGTAAACTGATTTTTCTCAACCAAGAAAAACTAGAGAGTTGCCAATGCTTCAGTTATTTAGGAAAATAAGGTTTTGTCAATATTGAAAAGTATCTTTTTTCCTATATTATCATCATCTTATTTTCCAAGACATTGAGGCTTGTATGAGCATGAACTGTGTGTTGCTAGACACAGCTTGGATGCCCAGTTCTATGAGACTGCATTTTTTTCTATTTCATGACAACTTTTTTTGCTGAGAGATCTTCATTTTTGACTCCTTTTTCTTCCATGTGGTAGCAAAACTGTCACTTGGACTCTATGTGTGGCTGTGCTTTGATGCAGTTACAATTGTTCCTCGTGTAATTGAAACTGCAGAGACAAAGAAGACAGTTTCTCTTCTCAGCCCTGATTATGCTGGGATAAACTGGATTGGTAAAAAGTGGAACTCACTGATTCTTTATTTCTTTTTTTTTCATTCCATATCAAAATTAGAGATCCATCCTAGCAGGATTGTGACTATTAAAGATAGCTGTTAGAAGCAAATGGGCCATTTCAGAGCACATTTTTTAAAAGCTGCTGTGCCAAAAGGAGCTTAATTTCTGAATATTAAGTGAGAGACAGATGAAAGATTCTTGGCTCCTTGTGCCAAGTTTATGTAGTTCTACAACTTTTCATTATTTTTTCATATTTTGGGGTAATTTTTGAGGGTGCTCATTCAACTTTTGGGATTATAGCAAAGTATTTTGTGGATGCAGCAAATGACAAGAAACCAAACAGAATTTTCTGCTACTCCTTCCTGTGACATTCAGGAACCCTATCAAACCTAGATTCACTGCCACACTTGAAATTTTATATCCATATCCGTTTGGGCTTGGGCTTATCTCTAGTTTAGGCCATGTCATGTCCTGTAGTGCAGATCAGACAGGATTCTTTAACAAGCCATATCAGATTGTAAATGTTTTTCCTCTGTGTAAAGCCAAGGGGACCGACACTATTGTGCCTGTATGATTGCAGGCTCTTAAGAAGCTCAAAGCTGTCTGTTTACGGCTTGCTTTTGGACCGTGCATCTCAGAAACAGGCACAGCTGCAGTCCTTGCCTTCTTGTTCCTGCATTTGCCATGGCAATGGGGATTTATATTAGGGTAATGTACTGCCTCTTCTCCTGTATGACAAAAGTGCCGGTTTTCAGGCCGCAGCTAAATGATTCAAGTGTTGTTAGTTCTCTGTGCCAAGCAGAGACCTCAGTTCAGTGCCATTTGGGAAGCTGTGCTTAGCCCCTGTCGTCTTTTGCTTACCATTTATGTCTGTCTCTGTGGCTAATTTAAAGGTCATATTCTCCGGCTGCGGAGGAGTACTTGCATCATTACTCCTCTGTGTTTGTGACCTGAGTACTTGAAGAAGGAAAAAGGATAGTGCAATCCCTGAGTCTTGAACCACAACACAGGAGGCTTTTTGGGGACAGAAAATTATACCACAGTTTGGAAAATTTTCATACTGGAATTCAGAACTTGTACACAGAGAGATGCACATA